ATATTCATATCTATTATATATTGAAAATCACAAGTGTTCAGCACATATAGCAAGCAGTGTGTTTTAAGTTACAAAGTACATTATTGTTATAAATTAACTTAAAAAGTAAAAGTATTCGTATTTAAAAAAAAAAGTTTCTTTAAGCTGGTGGGCGTAATAAATGGAGGTCATTTTAAAATATTTATGTTTATTAACTTCTCGAAAATTCCCTACTTATGTGTATACAGTTAATTCGATAATGATGTAGTGCGTTTTGTCTTGGAAATTTTACCCAATGAACTGTAAATCATCAGTATTCTCAAGTGAGATACCTAACCAAGTTTAAACTCATATTTTTTTTGTGCGATTGTGTGTGTACATTTTTTAAACCATTAGTTTAGTTTGACAAGTAAAATGATGTTTAACCAGAAATAACCAGAATGATCTCTGACAAAACCTACCAATTAACAAAGAATACCTACCTAACTATATATATTATAATACATATCTAGCAAAACATTTTCATAGAAAAAAAAAACATTAGAACAATAAGAAAATATTTTGTTTTTCTTTTTTTAATGAAAGAAAAGCAATTCAATAAAAATAATAGTTATTTTCAATATAATATACAAGTTATTTTTTTATCTCGAACTTAACGTTCAATGAGGAACATTATTGTTGAAAGTAATTGTGCCTAATACATTTTACTGTACATCAAATAAAAAATACTTAATCATTACTACCTATAACATAATGTATCCAAGATTTAATTTACACAATTATAATAATATTATGTCAATGATTAATAAATTAAAAAAAGAAACAGTTTTACATAATATAATACATTTTAATTTATGAATTACAAATGACAGAATAATGACCTTTTTTTGTTGGTGGAGAAAATACATTTTATACTTAAATATTGTATTTACCATAGTATATTATACCATATGAAATTAATTTAATTTAATTTAAATTCAGTTGATTTAATTTTTTTTTTGTTTGATGATTAAGTAGGTATCTGTTTTTTTTAAAAATAACAATGAGTTGCATATTTCAAAATTAATTAATCATAGTACTAAGTTAACGGTAAATGGTATTATAAACTCATAAACCTAAATAATATATACTTTTAATTTCTAAGAAATTACAACCAGTAGGGTTTCAACCAGTAGGTTTTACAATGGAATCATTTAATTTTTTTATATGAAATAAAAGCAGTACGGAAGTGCAGTATAACCATTTCCTAATTTATTTTAAATAGCGAACGCAACATTAAAATATCTCTTTTTGTTTTTTTTTTTTTGATCATTATAATCCATATAAGTAAATATTATTTTAAAATTAAGATGCATCTAAGAACAATATCATTGATTTTATTTTAAATATATGGTAAACATTCGTGCATTCATTTGTATTGATTTATCGATTGTATCATTTTCTTTATAATAATAAAGTAATTGTTCTTTTATTTTGGAAGTGTTAAACACTGGATGTAATAATTGTCCAAAATAGTTTAAAATAATATAAAATATATACATAATACTTGAGTACGTTATTATATTTCAATGTATTTTATACTTGTATAGACATAACAAGGTAAACATACAAATATTATACATTTTACGAAATAGCTTAGGCTAAATTATTACTTTATAACTTTAATTTCTACCATTAGTATTTTTACTAAGTATACGCAACCAGTATTTACTGCAGATTTGTTTAACAAGGATTTTTTTATCGGATTAAACCTTTTTGAATTGTATAACACACAATGTGTGTATGTTATATAAAAATACTGTGAAAATTACTTCTTAAACAAAAGTTATCAAATAAATTACTTGACACCATCGTTTATAAAATCATTATTTTGGTGATTTTTAAATGTTGTATTTGCTGTTATAGAGTGTTATGCATAATATGAAAGTTCCAGCATCAAAATATATACGCAGTCACATCATGACAGCAGGGGCGTTATAAGGTTAGTAATGAATCACCACCTGTGGCTTTTTGCTAGTTTCATATTAGAATTGTTAGAATTGGTCGCCAGTATATGGCAGTATTTGCTAACCAACATTCTAACACTTCTAGAAATTACCTAGTATTTTCTGATAATATTCAACTGAAAACATAATTTTATACCGGGAATTATTTGTATGTAACATTTATATTTTATGGTAGAATTTTTTACTGTTCTATTTTCAGCGGTTTTATGTTGGTATATATTTTGTATTATTCCATGCAGGCTATATATGTAATGTAGTTTAATATACATTATGCACAATATAAAATAAACATTTGAAAATAGGATAAATGGGTTTGATTAAAAATATAATTATTTATATACTAAGTACATTATAAGATCACCTACGTAATACGTTTAAGATCGTAATAATATTTTGATTCATGAGGTTTAAATTATTTCCGAAGTGCACGTCGATAATAAGACGTATTTGAATGTACTAATATTACTCAGGTAGCTAATATTTAGTTCAATCCTTCCGTTCATCTCGAGTAGGTTTTTAAATACTGTATATTTGTATGTAACATGGTCGTATCGAATAGAAACCTTTTTTGACGCTTAGTGTGCGCGGGGTACCTACCTATATATTATATTTAGGAGGTACAAGGTCGTAGATGGAACAAATTTTCGGGAGGGGCTTAAAACCAAATATATAGGTATACTGTATACACAATATATTTTCAGGATTTAAAAACAATCAACTAAAAAAAAGTACCAAATACATAATATTATAATATTACATACAAGGGATTTTCATGCTTTAAATGTGTGATGAATTTAAAACATTTTAAACTAAATATTTTTTACAGCATTATAAAGACGATCGATCACATCATCTGGGTTGAAATGCTAGTAAGACAGTGTCTATAAGACCTGTAAGACGTACTTAGTCTGATAAGTTTCGTTAGTAGTTTTTTAAATATTTTTACGGTAAAAATATGCTTTCTGGTGTTGTAGTCGATACTGGTAAATAATTTCAAAAGAAAAAATATAGGTAGGTACTTGGAAACATTTCAGAATAACAATATTAGTATTTATGCTTTAATAACAGTAGCGTAGTTGGAGCTCGATTAAGGAAAGGGACTACAAAAATAATATATTATTTTATTACCTATTTATTAGGCTATAACCGTGATTAAAACATCATCAATAAAAAATTCCAAGGGGAAAGAGGGCATCCACTACAGCTACGCTAAGCCGAATTAAAATAGTCGATAAAATATCGTTTGTGACATATTTATTAAACATAGCAAAATACATGCCAACAAAATTCGTATTAGCACGATTATGTATTAATATTTAATGTATAGTTATATACAATAGAATATGAGTAAGGTATACGTGTATAATAATACAAACATAATATTATACAGTTATCATAATATTACTAGGCTGAAACATAGTAAATTATTAAAATGAATTTAGTTTCATAAATTAAATTCAATACATTCTATAAAAAAGTTTCGTTGGAGGGGGAGGGGGATAGAGGTTTGAACTCCCTTCGAATATGGCCTTGGATACGCAATACAATATTTATAGAAGCAAAACTTCATATTAAGTAAAACGCGTGCGGAAAAAAAAATTAATAGTCGCGTAACCGTACAAAGCCGATGTCATATTATATAATAAAAAATCTGCTCCACAAATCGAAATACTTTTCCAACTACAGCTCGTATCACTGCTATAAAACTATAAAATGATAATAATAATATCGTTTTATCGTATTTTATACGGCCGCGTGTAAGACGACTCCCAGCCGTATAGCTTGACTCGTAGCTGAAAACTTGTCGAACGAGACAATTTATCTTAAAGCCGCCGTCGGTACTTACACCTATACTTCGAATACATCTATATCGTATACAATATAGTATAATATAAACGCGGATTATATCTATAGGAGTAATATGGGTTCGGAGGAACAATTTACGAAATAGTCGGTGCGGGCAGTGGCGGTAATGTGCCGACATTACTCGTGTCGTCGAGTTCGGGAAGAAAGTTGTGCAGGCGAAAAGAAGAAAGGAAGAGACGGGGATGAAGAACAACATTGAAAAATAAATCGTTTTTGTATAATACTATTAATACTCGTAATATTATAACGCGATGATGGCGAGGGCGTGTCGTCGTATATAGATGCTGTATACAAGAACTGCTAACGAATAACGATAATATCACAGATCATATTATTACTATTATAAAAGCAGAAGGTGCACTTGGT